AATTTGGATAATAAGAAGACCTCTTACCTTCCATTTGTCTAGTTGACCCTTTATTTTTCTGTATAAATGTTCTTAACAAGTATATGTATGATCAGATTGTTCATCTTATTAAACTATCCAAAATTATTCTGTCGTTTTTTCCTTATTCAACTAGCAAAATATTTAAAATTTCATTACATTCAACGTTGACTTATTATTGAAGTTATTTAGCAATTTAGTTGTTGCAACGTTAATTTTCAAAGTAAATATTAAATTTATTACAAAATACTCATTCATTTTATTATGCTTCAAATAAGCTATTACGAAGTCATTTTATCTCACTTAAGGTATATAGATCTGTGTACATCAGGGTAACATGAAAAATGAGCTACAACGATGAAATAATATTGTGAAGAACTAAACGATGGGAGTACATTACAATCAATAAATAAATTAACAGGAATAGTATGTAATATAAGGTACAGTTCATTTGAAAATGTAGCCAGTTAGAGAGTTTTTCTCACTTTTATAACCAGTGCAATAATAAAACTACAGCAGGATTATCGCTAGCTTCCGTCCTGAGTCTTATCTGATAACGCCTCCAAATGCCCTGGTATGGCCGAGAGTGGGGTGGGCCCGCCCGCCCTCTCGAAATACTGTCACACGGCCACGCGTATACAGCCTCTACCAGAGAAGTCCTACTCACTGCCTCTTCGTGGCGGAGGTGTTGTTTAACGAAATTGAGAGAACGAAAAGCGAATGTCCGGCGCTTTAACCGGATCCCAATCCAAATCAATGATGCACATGTGCTCCAGTGTCCTGAAGGAACAAATGGCGTGTGAACCAATTGTCAGTTCCATGACGACATACAAATAAAGCCAGTGGTTATTTTCACCATTTATTGGATATTTGATTGCAAGAAAAGTTGCAGACAATATCCTTGAATTAACCTGTTTAGGACGATGGGTATGCTGGTTTTCAAAACCCAGGGTATGTTTAGGTCAAAGCAACGCATGAACAAAATCCCGATAGGCAGTCCAAAAAGGGCAGCAACTCTGTATGCATCCATACTATTAGAAGCTGATATCAATGTGGTCAATCTGTGCCGAGGTTTAAGTTGCAGAGGCATATCGGCGACGACAATTCCGGAAGTCAGACAATAATGAGCAGACTGTTATTAACTACTTACGGAGTTCGTGGTGACATGTACATGATTCTAAAGATAGTATTCCCCATGAAATTGTGATCGCCAAGAAATCCGAATGTTCAAGGCTTTAACTCATGTGGCATAATGATTGAGTACCGATTAGGAGCTTCAGCAGATAGTCACCACTCTTAAATCATCATTGTTATCCAATAATAAATTTTTTGTTTTTTCTTTACCTCAAATTTACATCTAATCCTATCATTTTTTTATTTATTACATCCGAACGCATTCTATTAAAATCTTTCGATCAATATGTTCTTTAATGAATTCAATTATTAACAGTATTTTCATACTTTTAGGTATGATTCACTTAGCTTCCACAAAAAAAACCCGGCAAATCAAGCTAATAAATAGAATAACAAAGCTGAACAGTGGTTAGCAGTTTAATCTAGGCGGTGAATTTGAAACTAGTTAACTGGATATACCTGCAAGCCAGTGTTCATGTTCACACAAGAACTCAGAACTCGTGACATTAACTCCAAAGTGTTAACCACTGAACTATTGAGTCCAAGTAGCCCCTATCCTGTGCAACAATAAAACACAAGCACTTATAAATAAATATAATAGTATAATAAATATTTTCAGAAGAAAAAAAAACACTTTGTTCTCTTCAAAGATTTCATGATTTAATGTTGTATGTACTATTGTATTCATATAAAATAGTTGATACTATGAATAATTTTTACATATGAATATACATATATAAGATGAGTGGAAATTATGGAGTGTAATATGTAATAATTATTAATTATTAATAAATAAATGAATCATCAGACTGACTGAAAACTACAGGAAATATAACAGATTAAAGGTCAATAATAAATTTATCAGTTTAAAGATTTTAATGTAATTTTTCACATAGATACATGAAAATCATTATGAAAGAGAAATGGTTTCAGGTGATATGAAGTTATAATAATGATAAGATGAATGAAATCAGTAAATTTTATTGGAATTTATTCAACTGTAATGATAAGGTTGCCTGTAACTTGAAGGTGAAAACATAAAACTTGCAAAACAACGTGAATATATAAAAAAAAATCTAGTGGGCGTAGCAAAAAAAAAGAATCTCACAAACTATTTTCGTATACACAAATCTAGTTTTCATTTTGCATATTATTAATGCTTCCAGAATTCCGAAGCAATGAGTGGGTACAACAGAAAATATGTAGATAAGTTTAATTATTAGGCCGAATATTTATTATGGATTATTCTAGTAATTGCATAAATTTCATAAAGAATCACAGTGTATATTAACCTGGATTGGTTGGTTACGTCTTTACGACAAACATTTGATAAGGCCTTACAGCTAGTAATCCAAAACCAGATGTTCACTATTACACACATATGAAGTGAAAAGTAAAGCTATCGAATTTTATATGAAAATACTTGTTCACCAAACCTATGTACACAAATCTTTTTTGAGGAAAATTTCTTGACTAATTATACATAAGCTAAGATCACTACCGATGATCATTGGGTGGAAACAATATCGGTATGTGATGTTTTGTTTATGAACACAAATGTCATTAATAAATGTATGGCTGTTTACGAATTCTTCAACCAATGCAAAGATATGATGGAAACGTGGGTGACTCGGATTAATTCAATAACTTGGTAGTTTGTCAAGTGGGAATACTGAATTTAGATAAAAATGTGAAGCAAGAAATAAACTAGCAACCATGAGGTAATATGAAAAGCACAATCTATATAGTGAAACTGACATGGCAAATATAAACTTCCGCATATGTTATAGTAAGTGCCACCATCCAATTCTTTGGCAGTATTGTGTTTTTGTGGCCCGGGATCTGACTCCATTTGGATGATATAAATGATTGTATAGTTGATTTTTATTGAAATATACATGTCGCCAATCCTCGCATATAATTACCGACTTAATATACGTTGGCGAGCAACAGAATTAAATAAGTCAAATACAAGAATGAATTTCCAATACGTATATTGCATACAAAGGTTGATTCAGATAAACGAAGAGAGTGACGTGAAATGACGCGCGGTGAAGGCATGTAAGTCAACTCAATTTAACCAAGTGTGAATCGATATTTATAGCCGAACAAAAATAAGTTACAGAAATGTGATGTTTAAGATAAGAAATACATACACATACGCTTACATAAAAAGTCAAGGTTATTAAGCGAATAATTAACAAGGTCAAAATGTGACTATATGGACTTGAAATAGCGACCAACACTACAACGTTCATTGAGCTGGATATTCTCTGATTACGAAGTTGTGACACAGGATCGAATCTATTAGGGAGTATCAGTTCCAATTAGGTTACAAGTACATCTTGCTGGAGAAAGTCAAAGAGGATAAAACCCAGCTCGTTTCTTGTTGATCACCTCCAAGCACCAACTTACACCTCAGTATAGTGCACACGATATCGAGTTACTAAGACTAATGCCTATATTACAACTAGGTCGATTCAGAACTGAAAAAAACTTGACATACATGACACTGGTCCCTAATCAGTAATCAATCAATTGTAAATAACAGATCAGTGTACCAACAGAAACTATTGTAATAATAATTTACTCTTCATACCAAAACCTAGCTTTCTAGTCAGCAAGAGACAACATGCAAAAATATCTTTCCGATTCATTAAAGCTGAATATACCATGTAAGACAGACAATTTGAACAAAAATTTGGGAATGAGCATCTCCATGAAATAATCCTATATAATAATTTTTGTGTGAAAACTTCAAAACTAAAGTTTTCGATGAAACTTGAGAAACTCTCAGAAAATTCATGAAATATTGAGGGCTACCTATAAACTAATTGGAAAAATAGCTTTTTAAGTAAACCAGTGATGAGACTTAAGATATGTAAGAAGCAATATGACAGGAGAAATGCCAACCTGAAAAGTTGCCAGTTATTAGTAGGGTAACAGACACCAATACATCATGCCATAGCGAAGTGATATTTGGTGTACCTAGTCATGCGGTAAACTAACTGCCAATTGATTGGTTTATTCAAATGAAAACAGAATTGTAGTCTTTAAAGGACAAAAATGAGACATCCAGTCAGTCAGTTTTGAGTGATGTTAGAGTTATGAGGGTGGTTATCACTTCCCAGTTGCCCACATCGTGGAAGGGTTCTTCTGGAGGTACCTGAAAAAGAAATTGGATTAGAGGTGGTCATAGTGATCTGAGAGCGTGACCGCAGTGCCCAAGGGACAGCTGCTTGAGGTCTGTCACACACGACCTTTTTATGGGTAGTTTTTGTGTTAGCTCCGTACTTGCTGAGACCTTACCGTCGGAGATGGATATCCGTGAGATAAGGTGAGATGTGCATTTTTAGGGTCGACCTTCAGTAAATTGACTTTGAACGGAGTAGTATAAGGAGTAATGATGATCACAAACATATAGTTTAGAAGAGCTACTACAAGGCATAGATTTCCTCCAACCAGTCGAAAGTTTGCAAATGATAAGATAACATAGTATTCCGCTTACAAAAATTTAGTTACTATGTTCGTGTACGTAATATGTCAAGCGTCTTACATGATGTTATCTGTATAAACGAACCATAAAGTGGTTGTTACTTGCAATAATAATAATGATAACTTGAAAAAAACCAGGAGTGGATATAACTTTGTACAACTTCATGAATTCACCAAGAGCTAAGTAAATATACTTTATGGTGTTTGACAATAACCATTTACTTTTATAAATTTAATTACAAAATGGCGACCTCAACTTAAACTCGAGTATATAAGACCGATTATTTTACATCATCCTACACGATATTCACGTATAAGTATTCATTATATTAATAAACACTGAAAGTCTGAACAGATACTAAACTGTTTGATTTTTTAGAATTAAAAAGACTATACAGCTAGACCAACACTTACTATTTATTATGTATGAAAGAAGAAATAGAAATGTAGCACAGAAAAAGCACAAAGTTGACATAGTTTACAAATTCTTTAATCTCCTTCATTTTTGCTTTTCTTGAATAAACTGAGTGACAGTTATCATAATGATACAAAATATAATATATGGTTTGTGTAATTATTCAATTACACAGATATGGGAGGGGATTAATATTGTAATGTAATTTATAACAGCTTAAATTTTGGACAGAACTAGGATTAATAGTCATACGTTGGTGAATTAAATAAAAGATGATTACATATGAATGATAGAAAAGAACACAAGTTGTACTACATATTTATATTATATTGATCAATATATTACATTAGTTACGCACGGAAAATTAAAAACTGTTCATAGAAATATGACAGAACAACACGTACGAACGTATATATAGATAAACACACAAAGTAAACGCATTTTTCTCCCATATAACTAATTAAGGTGCGTATTATATAGAAATAGAGATCAGTGAATGTGAAATCACAACATGTCAATCTGTAACTCAGTGGTTCCTTTAATTATTGGAATTATTTTCTTCAGATACAAATCATTACATGAAATATTGTTTGTAATGTGACTAGTCCACATATTTTTGCAGCCCGCCAATCTACTGATTAAGTTTCTAATGGACGGAAATATTCATTAAAGTCATTGCAAAAAAAGACAAAGTGGTGTAAACGGAAAGAAAAATGTTCAAGGATTCTATTAAACATCATGATCGTAAATTGATATACTTGTCTATAATTATAATCTATAATGGCATATATATGTATTTATATATGATATGATATGAAAGACGAACCAACAGGAGAGCAGTGACGAGAAAAAATGCCGTAATATGTGAAAGAAAGATGTCTGTTTTGTAACCGATATATATATATATATATATATATATATATATATATATCGGGCGCTGCATGCAGTATTAATAACAGGAATGATAAACAACTGTAGTTACAATGAAGATCATTGTAATTTAAGAGAATGTTAAGAAAACACTACGAAAAAAAGAAAGAAACATTACAGTTGATATACATTTGGAAAACAAATTTTTAAATGTTGCAATGTACCACTTAATAAACAAATACTTTCTTTGATTATCACTTAAAAAAACAGAAATAGTTAGAAGACAATATAAAGAGTTGTAACCAAAGGATTTTTCGTGTAAACGACTACTCATTTACTTTTCAAATAGCAATGTTACATTTAGGCAGAAAAAACAAACAAAGTAATGTAGTCAGAGAAAAATGATTAAAAAAAACAAAGTGCCAGTGTTGAAAATAAACAAACTACAACATTAAATGTAGCATACATGAATGAACAAAAAAACACACACAAAATATGTAGATGTTGTTAATTAAAGTGATTGAAAGAGAGTGGATATGATTAAAATTACATGAGAAATGATCATTAAATTGTGAATGTTTGTACAGAAATGGAAAATAAGTGAAATCCTAAAATAGGAATAAAACAAATTACTTTGTCACTATAATTCTGTGTTATGTTGATTGTCATCTACAGGAAGGAGCTTCATTAATCTTAAGAAATATTACTGATTATATTGGTAAATATTTGTACACGTATATAATTAGTACTTGTCTCAGGAGGAATAAACTGGACGAGAAACCTGAGTCGAGTGGTTTTTCATCCTTGTTTCGTGATGTTGAGTTTCGGAATTTAACAAATGTCACATGAGGACAAATATAGTGAATAAATTTTATAGATAGACAAAATGTGATCATTATCTTTAACTATTGACACCTTGAATATTCCTGGATTCTAACTCTTCATGGCAGGAATCTTTCAATTGATGAGGTATATCAATATTGTTGTTATTATCATTGTTGTTACTGTTATTTGATATGAGTTGTATGTTATCCGAACTACGAGATGGAGCTACAACTCCTAATCGAATTTCTGAATCCGATAATTTACTCCCTTCTGATGTAGAGGGATTGTGATTTTGTCCCGTGCGATCAACAGTATCTGTTATATGATGCGGTTGTGGTTGTTCTACCATTGAAAGATCCGAAGTAGGTGGTAAACTTGACTCTGATCCCCCAGCTCCTCCGGATGTTCGAGAAGGTGGGAGAAATTTGTACATATCATCTCGCATAGTCATTTCTAAAAGTATAAAAACGAAATCAACGGATTACTATTATTTGAACACATAAATATTGGTACAATAGAGCACAGGACACATATGACATACGCCACACAAGTCACTTGATTTTTGTGTGGACTATGATACTGCTCGGGTGCCCAGACAGAAAAGGTGGTTTCCTTAGGGGATTACACCCGGAGTCGTCGACCTAAAGGTATAATACACAAGGCAGTGGAGCAACGTCAGGAGATGCAGTCCCATGGTAGCCGGTGACTAACAATAGGTTCATAAACCATTCGTTCCCTTAGGATTATGGAGCCCATGTTCATCATTGGTTTGGAATCTAGGTTTTCCAAATACCATAGGTGGATCCCCCATGTTCACCAACCCTGTTAAAGCACCAAACATTTGCTTTTAGTCCTCTCAATTTCATGAACAATAAACCCACTGCGAGAAGGTAGTGAGTAGGACTTCTGTGTGAGTGGCTGTGAAAGCTCTCCCGACCCTCTGTCATACCAGGGAATTTGAGGGAAATATTTTAAAAAATCATAGTATATGAAAAGGATTATTTCAATCAAGAGGGTATTCTAACGATTTCAAGTAATATTGATTATTACAACTGGCTGACAAATTCATCAGATTAGTATTATTTTATTTGAAATCGATAATTCCTATAAAAAAAAAGTACGCAATACTGATAATTGAAATAACTATCACAGAGATATGTTGTAAATTATGAACGAGTGATGCTAAATTTAAATAATGATTTTACCACTCAATCTCACATGTATTTTTCTTGTTTAAATTATATTTACATAATCACCTACGCCTCTTATCACTCATGGAGAATCATAGGCCACCAAAAAGCATTCTCCATACAATTCTGTCCTGGGCAATCCTTTGAAGTTGCTAGTCGTTCTTTCGATAACCGTTTCCAATTCCCAACACAATGTGTCCTTTGGTCTTCTTGTTTTCCTTCAAGATTCCAAGTTAAGGCTTACCTACTGATGCAGTTTGATGGTTTTTGCAATGTATGTCCTACATACTTCCAGCGTCTTTTCGTAATTTCCTCTTCACATGGAAACTGGCTTGTTCATTCCCACAATAGGTTGTTGCTGATGGTACCCAGTCAACAGACATTCAGTACTTTGTGTAGACAACTGTTAATAAATACTTGTACTTTTTTGATGATGGCTGTAGTAGCTCTCCAAGCTCCAGCTCCGTATAGTAGAACCGTTTTGACGTTCGTACTGAAGATTAAAACTTTGATGTTGGTTAACAGTTGTTTTGAGTTCTATATATTCTTGAAGTGTATGAATGCTGTACTTGCTTTGTTAATCTTTGCCTTTACGTCTGCATCAGATTCACCTTATTCATCTATGATGTTACCCAGATACGTGAAAGTTTTCACCTCTTCCAGAGCTTCTCCGTCAAATGTGATTAGGTTGATGTTCTCTATGTTGTGTTTGAAGATTTTACGTTTTCCCTTGTGTATGTTGAGGCCTCTTGTTGCAGAGGTTTGATGCCACATTGGTTGTCTTGACCTGCATTTGCTCGTGTGTATGGGATGGAACAGCTAAGTCATTTGCGAAGTCCAGATCGTCTAGCTGCACCCAACCTGTCCATTGTATTCCGTGCTTCCCGTCAGATGTGGAGGATTTCATAATCAAATCAACCACCAGAAGAGAAAAGGGAGATTTGTTCTGTACATGACTGATCATATTACGGAATCCAGGCTGTTGATCTCGAAGTTGAGTGTTTACTGAATCTTTCATCCGGTTCAGCTACACTCTGTTGAAAACCTTTCCTGATACTGATAGTAGTGTGTCTCTGTAGTGCTCATATTTGCTCAGATCTCCTTTCTTTGGTATTCTGATGAGATATCCTTATTTTCAGTATGCCTGTGGCACTTCTCCCTCCCAAATCCTGATTACAATGTGGAGAATATTCGTAGTTACTTCTATGTTCGACTTCAGTGCTTCATTGGACAGCATCAGTGCAACTCCTTGTATGTAAGGCATTTTCCTGTTCGTGAACTGAGTATAGCAGCATCTCTCCCAAATCTAACCTTTGTTGTCCAGCTTGGATCCAATGGGTTTCAATGATTCCGAGCACCACCAAGTTATATCCACTCATTTCCTTTGCTATTTGACTGGTCGTCTCGGTCTCGCATATTATCATGACATTCCATTTACTTATAAAAATTGTCGCTCTGGTTGTTAGAAAGGGCATCAGCCTCGTGACTTTCAAAGAATCTCGGCTTTTATCATGAGACGTCATAATTCTTCTTTCAACTCGGAGGGCAAAGTCTAGATGGTTTAAAATGTTGATTTTGGTTAGTTTCATAGCAAGGTTGTTTTCTACGGGATGGGGTTGCTGAGCCCATGCCCAACCCTCCTTTTACCCGAGGTTCGGACCCGCAGTAACCCTGGGAGAGTTACAGGCGGAGTTTGTTTAAAATATAGATAGTATGTAATTTTGTTGAGTTATACACTACTATACAGAACAATAAATACGAAATTAATAAAAATCAATTTTATGCGAACATTAAATTTGTACCTGGAAAAGTGTAAAACTTTATTGATATTGTAAATACAGCTTAAAATTATCGAAAGAGAAAATAGAATAAAAATAAGCAATCAAACAAAATCGGTATACAAATTAACATTTTTATACACACTTTATTATAGCGTAAAAATTAGGCTAAAAATAGAATAAATGAAGAGAACATTCAGATATCAGGATAGCAACACCATTTGATAGTCAACAGTATAGATACACACAATAATGACTTGATTTAAACTAAGCATAATGTTTATATGATGTAAAACAGTTCAAACTTTCAGTGTTTTAACTTACATCAACATGTTGTCGATGCTTCAATATAGCCTGACAGTAGAGAAGCAATTTTTTATCCGTAAAGAACAGACAAATATATTGCAGTATTACACAATTAATCAACATAATGATGCTAATAATAATGGTGAAATTCAAAGACTCACCGTAGGGTGTCAAATTAAATAATGGAGGTAGAGGTCTGTCATTGGCAAGTCTAGTTCCTTCTTGTCTTAACTCATCGAAAAAGCAATGTAAACAAGCATCTAACGGTTCTAAACGTTTTGAGGGTGTGTAGTCAAGTAACTGTGACACCAACTGAATTGCTTCCGATGGAACACGAGGACGAAAAACCTAAGGAAAAGTTTAAAAAAGGGGTGAATGTGCGAAATTGAAACAAAAATGTTGACAATATTATGAACCAAATTACACCTAATTAATCGTGCATTATATTGAATGTATCTGCATAAACGATGTTTATCAAAAAATTTCGTTAAAAGATGTATATTATAACAAGCACAATCCATAAAATTCATGACAAAATATCTCACCCCACTATTTTATTTGCTGGTAATAAAAAAGCTTCGTTGAAAACTAGTCAACTCCACTATATTTCTAACGAGTTTGAAATACTGGTATTCACCTAGTTAAGTAATAACTGACTGATCATTTTACGACAGTCGGTATTTTTAAAAAAATTAGGTCCCATGCTTTCTAGACGGACGTCATATATATGACAAAAGTATAGAAATTCGACCTAAAATTCAAGATTCCTTGAAACTGATAACCAACAAATATTATTCGTCCAATGTTATTATAATTATTATCAGAAAAATGTATTCATGTAGATATTTCTTAGAGATTACTTACAAATATGTATAAGTAAAAGCTCTATATGATAAACAAGACAATATTCACCTACCCTATTACATGACTACTATGGTGAAATTCAGTTATGTTACAAACAGTACAGAAATTACTTTGTGCTAAACAGATTTATTACAACAGCAAATTTACCATTTAGTGGAAGGGAAATAGGAAACAATTCCTGTGGTAATATTGGAAATATACAAATTGTTATGTATTATTACGCTAAAATATAACGTAAATATATTTGGGTAATCCGTACGATTTTCTGATCTATAAACGTCAATATGGTTATGAGCCACATAGTAAAGTTGGTGACATTAACCCAGAGCTTAAATCGAAGTAGGTGGAGCGGCGATCGAAACTGAGACTTAGTAGCTGCAAGCCGAACACTTTAGCCAATAAACCACCACTTCTACATACATCTATACTTTTTATGACCGCATTTATATTGATAGTTATACATATATAACTTTTCTTACATTTTTTGTAATCCATTTTTATTAACCGATTGGAAAGCGAGCAGTAGCATTAGTTCAAACGAAATGGGTTTAAGGTACAAGCATATATTCAGTGGATATATAATATACACTATGTGTTTTTGGAAATGACGATTCTAATACTAACAATTATCAACATCACTAACCAATCAATGCATTGCAAAAATTACAAGCAAAATAAGGAACGATATTGTTATGTCCGAACGAAAAATAAGTGAATGGTAACTGCTAGGATCTATTTATGATATATATAATTGTATAACTATTAAGTAACTATATTATATGTATACTCACGTTCCTTTTATTATAATCTTCTATTGGACCTACTGACTAATATTATATGATTTACTATCTTTAAATTACTCTCATATTATTAGTTACAGATTCTCACACTCACAGACACTTTTGGCTTGATCTTGTATACTTATAATCTACTATTTTATGGTATGATGCGGTCTGATTTGCATGTATATGAACTTCGTATGTCAGAAACACGCAATTCATATAACGGAGGCTGATATTCGCGTTCTAGAATGAACCGGTTGAGTTAGGCGAGAAGCTACTATTTCAGAGGATCAATGAGAGTTCAGAGCTGATTGTAGATTGCTCGTACCGATCAACGCGTCAGTGGTTCGACGCAGTGTCGAGGTTGATTCGGTGTTTCTGATTGACGATTTATATATTGGCAGACCCATAGGAAATAACAGATTTGTTTAAACTTAAGATTTCACTCTTTGTTCTAGTGGCTTTAATCGACTAGAGATTTTCTCAAATAACTACAAGACATCAAGCTGATAAATCTTAATCTATTAGTTGCCTACAACTTCACACGATATTCTACCTTGTAACAAGGAAATCACAAGCTAAAAAACTCATAAAATCTTTTTAGATAGTGTTCAACTGAACAACCACTCATTAGTGATTGTGCATACAGGATATATTGTGTTATCACATATTTCAACACTAGTGAAATCAACTTTTATCATTGTGTATATTTAGAGTGAAAAAGCAAAGATTAGACATGGAATCTTTGACCGCGAAATGCGACGTCATTGCTTCACATTAATAATAACAGTAGTTAATTAAATGGATTATTAAAAAGCGGCATCCACCATTTAGAGAACTTTAACAGGGTAGCACTACTGAACCTATCGGACATTGAAGTAGCACACACAGACCTTATCCTACCAGCAAACGAAGAAATCAGCATGGTCATCAGACAAATTAAGAGTGGGAAAGCAGAAAGACATGACATATCAGCTGATTCACTAAAGTCAAACAGAGAGGAAACTGAAAATATGCTATTCTATTCAGAAAGATTCATAAGAAATAACAAGTACCGGAATACTGGTAAGAGAGATGCCACATCAAGACAACAATCATAAGACCTTAATAAGTGTGAGAGCTATGTAGGCATCACATTGATGCTAGTACCAGACAGAGTTTTTGACAGTGTTGCTGAAGCAAATCAAAAATTAAGCGGACGCTCAACTGGGAGATAAACATGCCAGCTTTTGTAAGGATAGATCATGTACACAACAAGTCCCAACACTACAGATCATTTGTTGAGTAATTAAGTGAATGGAACTCATCACCATACATCAACTTCCTTGACTATGGAAAAGCAATTAACAGCGTGGATAGGTGAACCTAATGGAACACTCTTAATATGGAGTGGCCGGAGAAATAGTCACCACCATATGGAACTTCTACGACAGACTGAATTACATAGTGGATAATGGAAGGCAGATCACAGATGCATTCCAAGAGAAGATCAGTGTCAGATGAGACTGCTTACTCTCGCCCCTCATCTTTCCTCTGGTCACTGAATGGATTATGAAGGTTTGCACATCTCAGGTGAAGCACGCAATAAAATGGACACCTTGGACACGGCTTGGTTATTTGTAGATGGCTTAGCCCTTCTATTGCACACACGGCAACGAATGCAGAAAGAATACTGAAAGTATAGCCGCGGTTTCCGCAGCAGTACACCTCAATATTCCCAATGGATAAACCAAGATCCCATAACACAACGCAGAAAGACCCAACAAAATCACACTTGATCATGAAATTCTCGAAGAGGTGGAAGAAAAATCTAAGCACTACCGATGATAAACACAGTGTATCTGATGCATACATCAAAGGACGAGTTAGCGAGGGAACGGCAGCATCCTTACAATCAGAGAATTTCCGTAACTCAAAACAACTGTCACACAAAACCAATCACAATTTCCAACACTGACTTTAAGATAGTGCTATTGTACGGAGCTAAAACTTGAAAAACTGCCAGCAACATCACCAAAAAGTACAAATATTCGTAGACAGCTGTCTACGCAAAATGCTGTAGGTCCATTGACCAGATACAAGCAGCGATAACCTACTGTGGCAGAGAACAAACCAGCTACCAACTGAGGAGGAAATTAAGGAAAGATACTGGAGGTCAATGGAACACTCATTGTTCAAATCATCAAACTACATCATAAATGAGCCATAAACAGTCGGTTATGTGCTGCTAGATTAGAAAGTTCCACCAAAGTGAGAAGAAATCGGCGTGAGAAACGATGTCATTTCGTCATCTCCGCGTATGCCCCGACAGATCGCAGCCCGGATGCAATCAAGGATGAGTTTTACCACCGGTTATCTGTTCTTCTCCAGAAAGTGCGTTCGACAGATATTGTAGTACTAGCCGGAGACTTGAATACTCAGGTCGGGCGTCTAGGCACAGAAGAGAGTCGTTTAGGTGGCTGATGGGAACTTGTTGGTCGCAGGACAGATAACGGGGACCGTCTACTGCAACTGAGCACAGACCACAACCTGTTTCTGGCTAGCACTAACTTTCGGCACAGTCATCGCCGGTGTGCCACCTGGCGTCCTCCTTCTGCATCTCAAGCCTGGACTCAGACTGATCACATCGCGATCAACTACCGCTGGCGTGGTTGTGTACAAGACTGTCGCTCCTTTAGGAGTACCTATCTGGACTCTGATCATGCCTTGGTCTGCGCCAATCTTATCTTACTTTTCAGTGGACAACGAAGTGACTGCCACCAAAGGATTGATGCTAGCAAGCTGGTTGCAACTTCTGTTGCAAGTAAGTATCGAACCGAGCTAGCTTCTAGGCTAGCTACCATTCCACCGAAAAGCATAGATGAGCATTGGTTGCAACTTCATGACGCCATGAAAATGGCGGGTACAGTCAATTGTGGGTTCGCGAAACGTCCTACTTATAAACACTGAGTTTCTTCAGGCTCCTTACAACTCATCGACACTCGTCGGTCTACTCCGAGTGACCGTGAGTTTGACCACAAACGAAGGATGTTACGTAATGAAATCGGGCACAGCTTGTGTAAGGACTGAGAAGCCTGGTGGTCGGAGCGTGCTAATGAGCTGGAAGCAGCAGCTGCATCTGGTAACTGTCGGAAGCTCTTCCAACTCATCCAATCCACTGGCAGCAAGAAGTCTGGAGTGAGCTAAACAATCTGCGAGGATGACGCGATGCCAATCACTAACATCCATCGACGTCTTGGACGATGGGCAGAATTTTTCGAAGGGCAGTTCAACTGGTCTGCTGCTCCGGCAACATCGATCGAACTGTCCTGACCTCAATGGTCAGTGACGACTGATCCACCAAATGAGGCGGAAGTCCGCAAGGAACTCCAACTCTTGAAGCGCTACAGATCACCGGGCCCATATGACTTACCTCCGGCCCTTTTTTAAGATGGTGGTGACTTTCCGGCTAAGGAACTGACGACCTTGATTACAAAGGTCTGGGAGCTCGAGAGTGTACCAATGTCATGGAATGAGTCGATAGTTGTCCCTATCTTTAAAAACGGTTCACGTCGTTCCTGTACCAACTATTAGGGGATAAGTCTACTTCTGATTGCGTCCAAGCTATTGGCTTCCGTCATACCTCGTAGGTTGTTTAAAACCCGAGAAAGTTTGACTCAAGAGGAGCAGGCTGGTTTTCGTTCTGGTCGAGGATGTATTGGTCATATCTTCACCCTCCGTCAAATCTTAGAACACCGTCATACTTATCAAAGGTATGTGCTTTGCACATTCGAAGTGCAAAGTACTTCTACAAGACTGGCAGGATTCTAATCCTGTACTCACCCTGGATGGTGAGCGGATAGAAGTAGTCGAGAAGTTCGTGTATCTGGGTAGCTACATAAGTGCTGGTGGGAGTGTGAGTGATGAGATCAATGCACGTATAGTGAAAGCCAGAGTGGCTTATGCCAATCTGGGCCATCTTTGGCGGCTTCGTGATGTTAGTCTGACTGTAAAAGGTCGGATCTACAACGCGTCGGTGAGAGCAGTTTTGCTCTATGCTTGTGAAACCTGATCTCTCTGAGTTGAGGACGTTAGACGACTCTCTGTGTTCGATCATCATTGTCTCCGGAGGATTGCTGACATCCAGTGGCAACACCATGTTAGTAATGCAGAGGTTCGGCATCGTATGTTCGGGCACAGAGACAATAATGCAATCAGTGTCACCATCTTGAAACACCGACGTCGGTGGCTTGGACATGTTCTACGAATGTCGCCCCGGAGAATTCCACGTCGTGCATTATTTGTCGACGCTGGGACTGGTTGGATAAAGCGGAAAGGTGGTCAGTATATGACATGGTGTCGTGGCATGAAAGAAAGCTGCAAAGGACTGGCTTCTGTTGGTCCTTCACGACTCCCTGGCTGGGGTCCGAGATATGGTGCAACACAGTGGCTAGAGACGTTAACAGATATGGCTCAGAATAGAAGCCAGTGGCGATCCTGTTGTAATCTTCTTTTACTTTCTTCATAAAAAGTGGTTGTATCTTATTTAACTGAAAGATTTCTTCTGATTGTACCTTTCCGTTTCCCCATTATTAATAATATTATTATTATTACACTACCTTACACTAATCTGTTCGTTAGTTTTTTTATCTCTTTGAATTCTCATTGTTTTGTGTGGCGTATATATATTTGGTGCCCTCTTGTACCAATATTTGTGTTCGAAGAAATAAATAAATAATAAATAAATTTGAATCCTTAAGGCCATTTGAGAAGAGGCAGACCAAAGACACGTAGAATCAGGAATTTGAATCAGACATCAAGATCATGAAGACATTTTAACATCAACTGGAAAGTAGAACCCAGAACAGAATTGACTGGAGATCCCTATTCGGTGATCTATGCCCCAAGGGGAGTGATAGCCTTCAATAAGTAATATATAGCATTTCTTTATATTTTTAAGTTGATCATCGATTTGTTTAGAAATATCTGTTGTAATTTTCTCACTAAACAATCAGAATTTCCATGGGATCATAAACTCTGCATATTCAAACTTAAAAACTTTCATAGTAATAAATATTAAACGAACGATCATAAAAAATGAAATGACTAAACTTTAATTGCCTATAACAGTAAGGCTATCCTTCGTTTCGGTAAACAACATAACTTTAAGGTCTACAACTTTCACCGATGTTATATACTCGCAAGTTACAAAACTTGTCAATTGTTTTTATCTGGTCAGTAACAAGAACAATATTTTTAAACTCGTTCAATTAACAGAAATGCAAGCACATTATATTTATTGATAAGAGAGTTTCTAATTTATACATCGCTGTAACTGTACTGAAACAGTTGGAAGAATTAGCTTCGCGTTCAAATGCAGATTTTACATATTAAATTCCTGATTTTGGTGTGATGTTAAACTATCGGTTACTTCTTGAGATAAAATTAGATCTAGAGAAACGAATATCCCAAACGTCATAGCATAAATCAGATCTGATAATACATGAAACAGACAGTTATGTCTATTTTAAGTCGTTGCTGCAGTTATCACCAGTTCATAATAGTAAAATATGAGACAACGTAGTTAGCAGTAAAATAATATCAACTTTGTGTTTATTGTCTTATCTTCGACAAGAAATAAAAAATATAAAATTCAAAGGGACAAGAAATATGTGAAACACACAAATCATTAATCAGTTTGAGCACAAAAAATCGTATTAGAAATCAAGATAACTAACAGAAAACCACAAAGAATATCTTACTTTTGACCAGAGATGAGGTTTAATCTGTGGAAATTTAAATTCCCGATAGTCAGGATTCATTTCGTGAATTTGTTCGCGAGAAGGAGTACCTAAGATCTTTATAATTTCAACAAGCTGGTCTACACCGCTTTCGCCAGGAAAAATTGGCTGACCTAACAAAAGTTCAGCAAGTACGCAACCAGCTGACCAAACATCTGCAGACATAAACAAATAAGTTATAATCGAAAAAACGATTAAGAATTTAAGTCCAGAAAAAAACTACAGAAATAATACATAAGGGGTCAAAATCATCCAATGATAACCATAGACGGATTAGTTTAACTAGTATGGCATCTAAAATACTAGCCTCAATTGTTGTCGGACGCTTAACAAAGACTCGTGAACTGCAAACACGAGGAAATCAGTCTAAGTTCAGACCTGGTCCTGGCTGCATCGACCACATATTCGCCATTCGTCAGATCTTAGGACACAGACATGCTTATCGGCATCCGATAACGGTGGTTTTTCTTGACCTAAAAGCAGCATTTGAATTCGTAGACCGAGAAGTTCTGTGGCAGTGTCTGTCATTGAAAGGCGTACCTCAGAAGTACATAAGCCGTGTAAAGGCTCTTTACTCGAACACTTCTAGTGGAAGAAAGTTAGGGGCGACCAAATAAAACATGGCAACAGTCCTTGAAGTTACTAGCTTCTGATCTGAGCCATGTTGGTAGGTGCAAACTACTTGGTTGGGATCCGTGTGATTATCGTATTAAGTGGTTGGAGACTATGGGTGACATGGCTCAGAATCGACCACAGTGGTGTCGATGTAAACACTCTCTGTCTTCCTTTAAACTATGAAATTAAAATCGCTTCATATCTTTTTTCTATCAACTAATTCTTTCTTCCTGTACTATATCCTTATACACAATCTCTTATATATTACCACCATCGAAGTAACTACTTTGTATCCGGTGTTCATCTTGCTGTGCTAATGAGGTATGGCAACATGGACCGATGTATATATGTGCCCGGTCCAAGGTTGCAGCTGACTGTCTGACTGATCCCAATAGTAGGATAAAGTTGTGGTGTGCCAATAAGAGCTAAGTCAACATAGCTTTTCAAAGTTAATAACTTTTCATTGCTGAAACAAACAGTAATTATAGCAAAAGGTTCTCATTATGGAAACCGTCAGGATGACGTGTGCAATACGTGTTCAACTCACAGAAACCCGTGTTTCAAAACGATAATATATACATTATAACAAAAACCAGCTGAAGTTAGGCTTAATCCCAGATGATTATGGAGTATGTTACGTAAGGCTTAGTTGAAAATACCAAACTTTAAGAAGCCTAGCTAAACTGGTTTGCAATTCGTTATACTAACGTGTGATTTATTTCCTAAAAATTGTGCACGATATTTAGTGAACAGGTGACCAACTGTTTGGGGACATAATGTCACCAGCTAAACCGATAGAAGTGCTATATCTTTGTTCTAAATCCTTTTTTACGAGATAGAAATTAAGTGACGTATTACTTTTTTCAACAAATCGCCTTCATAGAAATTAGCTGAGAAAAGACTAAGCTTGTAGATTGAGCATTTAAAGTTAGAAACAGAGCTATCTGTAGTTTAACCTGCTTGTTTACAAAGGTGTTTATTTCGCCATAAATTGTCTTTTTTACAAATAACTGAATCTCTTCATTGACTCTAATACTGTTTAGTTTTCATCGCTAAATTCGGAAGATATCTAGTATGAGGAAATGCTATGAATGGAGTATTACTCAGTCATTGGCAAGCAGAACCTATTCTACGTAGTTCGACCACTTGTTCAATGACCGCTTAAAACCGGTGAACCGATAAATTTAAAAATGAAGTCTTTCCCACAGAATATTGCACTTACCAATCTGACATGTGTAATCCACAGCACCAAATATCAATTCAGGAGCCCGGTAATAACGGGAACATATGTAAGAAACGTTAGGTTCACCGCGAACCAAAACCTTCGCACTAGAGATAAAATAATTAACTAATTACAGTTGGAATGAAATCTATAAGTAGAAAACCCTCAATATGGCGTAATAAATTCTATAAAAACAAGTTATTTTCAAGTCTTAAATGAAATAGCCTGTATCAATTTCAACGAAAGAGATGAAAATGCTCTGCAGGCAACAAATTAGGACATTGATTTTACCAGAGAATATGGTAAACACAAATACTTCATGTCATATCCCATCTTTTAATTAATGCACCCCAGTATAATTCAGTTGAAACAGAATTCAAAAAAACGTTCAGTTACTAAACAACGTGCACTGATAGAAAAAGCGTTTTTAGTTGCGATGCACAACTTCAAGTTTGGTTTCATTATGCATTGTTTTATTATTCCTGTCTAACAATACAGGATACATCATTCATAAATGAGTTATTCCCCTTCCAAGGTGACTGGAGATCTGCATTATTTGAGATGACGTAGTAACATATACAAGGGAACACAAATAATGTTGAATGTACACCATGTAAGTATACATGACACATTGGTTATTCAACATTTTCTTAATGAATTGTTAGATACAATCATAGGCCATATTGCAACTTTTACTCAAGTCAATTTGTCAGAAAATTACACAAACTACTACACGAGAATAAAATCTTATATATAGTAAACTAACCTTCCGAAATCACATAATTTCAAAACAGCTGTTGCTGGATTTAAAAGTAAATTTTGGGGTTTTATATCCCGATGACAAATACCTTTATGATGTATGTAAGCCAAACTTCGGAAAAGTTGGTACATATATAGCTGGAAAAGAAAACATAAACTAAAGTTTACGAGAATTCAGAAACAAAAGTAGCGCATGGCAACGTTTTTGTTTACAGGTGACAGACCACTATTTATTTCACGTATTTACTCGTACCATAACGTTTAGAATCCTATACCTTTTGTTTATTTAATCACATTTTACAATATTAGAATACACAAATATTAAGGTGAAGAAAAATAAAAAGCATATTTTAGTATGATATCAATGAGAAGTACAATTTTCATATGGCAATGAGAAAATCAACATTAACTTGTGTAACATGTCTGAATTTAATCATCATTATCAAAATATAATTAATCAAATGTGGACGAATGAAAATGTGTTCAGTCATTCCTAAAGTTAATTTTGAAAGTTAATTATTTTATCAGATGTGATTTATCCCCATCATATAGAAAAATGAGGATATTTTTGGTAAAATATTGCAACTAAACGTTAATTGTTTAACATAAAGTGAAATGATGACCTTTGCGAAACGGGAGGTTTTTATTTCAAAACATTCTTGGTAAATAATGTTGAAAAAGTCATCAAACATTCTCTGCTCGAAGAGTTTATAAAACTTTTGACAACTAATCCTTAGAAAAATATCACCATAGCATCAAATATACCTAATATATGTTGACGTGGTCTTGACCATGAGAAATTCGATTGGTTTATGACTGGGACAATATAAACGATAAATCAATGTTAGTTCCTTAAATCCGATAGAGGATGAATTCCAGAAAAAGAGTGAAGCATATAAGAACAAAGACGTTAAATAGGTTACTTCAAATACCTTTAATAATAGTAAAGTATATCAGTTAGTTAAGAGTTGATATATATGCAAGAGCATGGAAGTTAGATGAGATCATAAACGTACACCAACTGAGATGATGGAGCGTGCTATATAACAACTGTCTATCTCAGTTGTTATTAAAATACGTGAAATTTTCCTATAATAACTGTTTGCTTTCATTAGATCAAAGGATTACATGCTATCAAATTTAAATGCACATAACCTAGGAAAATAATTGTACATGCACGTTCTCGGTACATGTACTTTTTTCTGTCCAGAAAAGTAGTCATAAGAAAGTGTGGAAAAACCTTGATTAGTAGAGAAGGGTATGATAAAAAAGGTAATTCAAAAGTATTTTCAAGGTGAACAGAATAAATTTAGATAAAATAAAGTACAAATAAAACTGGGTAAAATTATTTGCTATAGTAATAAAAATGAGAATTTAATACGAACTATACGTAAACGAACAATTAAACATAAATTTTCGGACTGTACTAATTCGTATGAACTGCGTATCAACTACTGATAGAATGTTGTTTATTGTAACGCTATGTGAATTAAGAAGCAAGTCAATAAATCACCGCGTTACAGATCCTAAGAATGTAACTGTTCAAGATCGGGAAATTTCAACCCGATTATCCATGAATTTGCATCACCTATAAAACGTGGATTGTTTGTAAAAGTAACGTACACATTAGTTATAATGTCATTTTGTACGTTGTAAATTGTCATATTAATTGTGTATTTTAAAAATGTTTGTATCGTTAAACCCAAACCAACATGTTGAGACCCTACAGGTTGTTTAGTGGTTTTATTTTAAATGAAAGTTTACTGGCTAAACCATCGAGATAAAAACGAGAAAAAAAAGATTAACGGAAGAGGAAGGAAATATTCGTAATTTTAAAAGCCTACTTATACACTATGAAAACTTAAATTACATATCTCCACAAAATTCTTCAACTATCATATTTACTTGGAGATAAATAGAGTGAAAAAGAAAACTCAAGAAGGAGCAGAAATGACAAATTTGTGATAATAACATTTAATGCTACCATAACATAAGGCTAAAAAAATTGCGATTCGTTACGTTTACAAATGATCCCTGCTATTAACCAACTACCTAAATATAACACTGAGATCCAGTTTTAAAATTTTAGTGAAGGCAGTAGACATTGATGAGTCAATTCCAGAAGTCTTTGAAAATAACAGTCTATAATTATCTATTTGACTGAGGTATTAGTTAATTTGGGAGTTAGATAGTTTAGTTCTACTTGCAAAAGACGCTGATAAGTTCACTGTTCTGTACACCTTGCGTGACAAATGCAAAAAGCTACTTCAAAACTCCTTTATGTTATTGTCTAGTTTAAATATAACAACTAAATAAGTTGAGCAACTTGATCACATCACTGTTATTGAGGGTCTTTTCAACTCTAGAGGGTTGATGGTTAGTGAACTCTCTGATGACCTTAGTTAACCCATGTCATCTATGGGAAAAAAAGTTTGTCCAACTGCCCATTAAAGATACACATAACGTGAACCAGTCCGTTTTGAATTGCTTTACGCAAGTGGAACAAATTATGGTAGTACAAAATACTTTCAGGCTACTAGTATCCGAAATAAGTATTTTTGAAGAATTTTGCGTGTATGACAGAACCATCGAGTGAGTAATGCTAAGATTAGTTCACTAAATAGCACCATCTATAAATGACAAAGCATATGACGAGGCTGTGAATCTTTATCAATTAAGACTATTAGGACATGCGTCATATCAGTCAATCAGTAACAACGTAGAACTTCGTACGTACGTACATCAGTTCGAGTTGCCACACCACATTAGCATAGAGATTCAGTGGTCGATTCAAATCCCGTAGTGGTAGAGGTAATAAGAGTATAAGCAGTCATCGGGAAGATTAGTGTTTGGAGATGTTATTTAAAGAGTATAATACAGTGAAATAAATTTGGGAAGAGAAAAAAAAGAGACAAGGAGGAATCAGGAAGTCAAAATTTGGGAGAACACAAAGAGTGGATGCACCTGCGCCATTCCAAACGATTTTGAGCCATGTCATTCAAGGTCTCTAACCATCGGTTGCTATCATCTCGCGGTCCCCAACCAGGTAGTCTACACCTACCAACATGACTCAGTCCACTTGTCAATGACTTCATGGACTTGTGCCGTGTTTCGGTCTGGCCACCCCTAGCTTTCTTCCAATCTACTCCTATACCACTGAACATCTCACGTCGAGGCAGTCGGTCGTTGGGCATATGTAAAACGTGTCCCAGCCATTTCAACTGATGAAGTTTCACTACGTCATCAATCGATTAGCCTTCCTTACCTAGTACCCGTTTCCTAACAACTGCGTTACTTACTCGATGGTCCCAGGATATACGAGCAATATTTCGACGACACCTATGATCAAATACTACTAGTCTACGAATATCCTCTACTCTTACCGGCCATGTTTCACTTCCATAAAGCAGGACGGAACGAACTGCTGCGCAGTAAACCCGTCCTTTGGTTGATAGACGGATATCTCGCCTACGCCATAAATGACGCAAGTTAGCAAAAGCTAGTCGAGCCTTCTGTATCCGTGCTGAGATTTCGTCACATACCAGACCACAAGGGCTGATGAGACTTCCAAGATAAGTGAAGCGATCGACACGCTCAATTACTTCACTCCCTATCATTAGTTCGGGTGACGATGCAACCCAATCCAGAAGCAACATTTTGCATTTCGAGGGAGAAAATCGCATCCCGAACATGCCTGCATTGTTGCTTAGAGTGGTCAGAAGACTCTGCATTTTGTCATCGTCTTCACCAAATAAAACTATGCCATCAGCATATTCTAAGTCAACAAGTGAACCTCCTGGTAGAAGTTCAACCCCTGGAAATTTAGATGAGGAGAGTGTTATCTCTAAAAGTACGTCGACCACAAAGTTGAACAAGAATGGAGAGAGTGGACAGCTCTGACGAACACCACTTGAGGTAATCAATTCTGATGACAGTTCGCCATAAGCTCTCACTCTACCAGTTGTGTTCGAGTAGAGAGCCTGAATAAGGTTAATGTACTTCTTTGGTACTCCTTTCAGTGACAAACACTGCCATAGAACTTCACGATCAACAGAGTCGAATGCCGCCTTAAGGTCGAGAAATACTACCATTGTGAGGCGTCTAAACGTGTGTCTGTGTTCTAGAACCTGACGTATTGTGAATATTTGGTCTATACAACCACGTCCAGGTCGAAAACCGGCCTGATTTTCTCTAGTTTGCTCTTCACGAGCTTTAGTTAGGCGTCGAAGTACTATTGAAGCTAATATTTTAGACACTATATTAGTCAAACTGATTCCTCTGTGATTGTCACAAGAGGACTTTTGTCCTTTCTTATAAACTGGCACAATCAGTGATTGAGACCAGTCAGATGGGATTACGTCTAGTTCCCAAATTCTACCTAAGACCTCGGTTAATTTCATTGCTAATAGTGGACCACCATCCTTAAAAATCTCAGGAGTAAACCTGTCAGGGCCTGCTGCTCTCCCTCGTTTCAGCTTTCCTATGGCTTTTTCAACTTCGTAAAGGGACGGAGGACTTACATTAACTTGCCATTCAGGTTGACTAGAGATCGTGGGAAACCGAAGTGTGGCTGAAGGCCAGTTGAACTGACCCCTGAAGTGTTCTGCCCATCGATCCAATCTCCTAGGTTGAGAGTGTATAATATGTCCATCTTTCTCTGAAATTGTTTCGCTAACGGTCGGGTTCCTAATTCCGGTTTCCTTAACAAGTCTGAACAATTGTCTGCTATTACCTATTGCCGCTGCCTTTTCCATCTCTCTTGTTTTCGCTACCCACCACTGTTCACGATCATTGCGTAGACTTCTTGTCAGCTTGCGCTTAAGCTGACTCCGCTCTTCATTATGTTCAGAGCCAGATGGAATGAGTTTCCGAGCATCTATCAGTGCGATAGATGCTGCTGAGATCCAGTGTTGCTCCCTAACCTTCTGGTTTACCTTACTAGCAGATATCACTGCTGTTTCCACAGCTTTTCGGATATCATTCCATGCTGCCTCATGCTGGGCATCACATACATGGCTGCCTAACTGTTTTCCTAGTTGTTCCTGAAATATACTCTTAGCTTGACTATCATTAAGTAAGGCCCTAAGAGGTTTCCTTGCAGCGTCTTTCCTACGTCCAGTAAGACGCAAGCAAATACGCGCTCACACTAGAGCATGATCTGAATCTAAGCATGTGCCCCAGAATGAGCGACAGTCTTCTATTGAGCCCCTCCATCGGTGGCTGATATCGATGTGATCTATTTGGGTCCAACGCTGGGACGAATTAGGGGGTCGCCATGTTAAAAGATGTTTTTCCTTATGCCTAACGTTAGTATTTGCAAGAAAGAGGCGGTTATCTGAGCATAGCTGCAACAGACGGTCGCCATTATCTGTTCTTTGAGCCATGATGCTATAAGATTCACCCAGGTGTCTTTCCCTATCGCTTAGTTTACCTACTTGAGCATTAAAGTCACCAGCCATTATTACTACATCTGAGCGCCTAGCTTTTTGGAGAAGGTCGGAGAGCTTTCTGTAAAACTCATCTTTTACATCATCTGTGCTGCAGTCAGCGGTAGAATGGGCAGAGACGACGAAGAGGCAACGACAAGTGTCCCTATCTTTTCGGATCCTTACTGTTTCGTTCAGTCGGACAGCACACAAACGACTGTCTACTGGGATCCACTCTAAGAGAGCTAGTTCTGCCCTAGGACTCAATGTTATGCCTACGCCGGCGAGGCCACGGGAAGCAGAATCAGGGCTTCCAGATACACGAAGTGTGAATCGAGTCGGTTTTTTTATTTTGGCATGGTGAGGTCAGATGAATGACGCTACTCGGATCCTGTATGCTCGTTTCGGAGACGCAGCACACATCGATGGCGCGGGATTCTAAAGTCCTAGCTAAGGAAGCCTGTTATCCTATTTGACACAGTGTTCGGACGTTAAAAGCTCCTACGTGTAGTTTAGAGCGTGGTTTCAGGAGACCAGTAATAGCGTTCCGCATACTCGAATCGTTTGCCCTAACGGTGCGAGATGATAAAGAGACGTGAGGAGGATTAGTCATGGAGATAAGAGAGGTATTAGGAGGTGTAGGAAGGATTTGAATGTGACCAACTTGGTCTCGTGTGCTGTTACGGGTATGAGGGATGATATCACTTCCCGGTTGCCCACACCGTGGAAGGGTATTTCTTGAGGGACCTGAAAAAGAAATTGGATTAGTGTTGGTCTTAACGACCTGGGAGCGTGACCGCAGAGCCCAAGGGACAACTGCTTGAGGCCGGTCGCGTACGGCCTTTTCGTGGAAGGTTTTTAATGTGTTAGCTCCTTTCTTCAAAGGGCCTTACCGCCGGAGACGGAAATCCGTGAGGTAAGGTGAGGTGTGACATTTTTAGGGTCGACCTTTTCTACCCCCACCCCTCCTTGTGGGAAGGCAGCATCGCTGCAGATGCTGGTTGTCCGAGGGAAGCACCTTACTGCTGTCACACCCCTCTACAGTCAGCAGTACGACTTCGCCCTCAGACCTTGAGTTGCTGCTTTTAGTCTTACCGTTCTCCAATCGACCTGCCTGGCATGGTAGAACCTACAGGAACATATGTTCCAGCCAATATAGCTCGGTTGGGTCATCACGATAGGCAAGCCCGACCACCGCATCAAGGTAGCGGCTTCGGTCGGGACATGTGTCATGTACATCTTTACGGACGCGCTGAGTTGATTGACTGGAGTTGGAAAAAGGCTGAGTGGGTGGATTAAGACAATATTAGCCCCTAAAAAATTACAAGCATATATGAAATGGACTATTAATTAAATCAATCGATTCACAGGTTATGATGATTATGGAAACATTTTACTACTGTAAGGAAATTTTATAAAAAACTGAATAAATCCATGAAAGGTGCGAGACTGATGTTGATAGGAATAAAATTACTAAAAAATAAAAATTACCTTTACAAATAAAAGAGGAATTGTTTCCTTTTGACGGGCATATCTTCGGGCAACACGATATACGGTTTCCGGAATAAATTCGAGGACCAAATTTAAATAGACATCATCTTTCTGGGGAAAGTTGGTAAAAACATTTGAAAATTAATCACATTATAATAGAAGGAAGACTAACTGAAACTAATACAACCAACCTTTGCACTCCCAAAAATGTGTAGCCGATTCCAAATAACTTACGTGCGCTTCGTGTTTTGACTCCCACTACGAAAACTTGTAAACAACCTATATGTGTGTACTCAAGTGATTTGGCAGGTAAGAACCAAACCTTTCCTTGAGTAACAATCCAAACATTTTTAAGATAAGTTTCTCGCCTTCTAAGTACCACATGTTGCTTTAAGACTGTTCCGAGTTAGTGGCTAGATCGATTATGGAGTGAAGTAACTGAGAGCATCGAGAATACTTATCCTGGAGGTCACATTAGCTCTTGTGGGATATTTATTTATTTAAAAACAAACAGTGGTACAAGAAGGCACCAAATACATATGCGCCCCACAAATCATTCGATGTGTGAGAGCTGGAGTACTGCCCGGGCGCCCAACTCGAAGCAGGTGGTTATCTTAAGTGGACACACTCCGAGCCTTTGACCCACAGGTTTAATCCATAAGGCAACGGAGTAACGTTAGGAGATGCAGTCCCATGGTAGCCGATGACCAACAATAGGTTCATACGCCATTTGTTCCCTTAGGATCCTGGAGCCCATGTACGCCACCGGTTTGAAATCAGGGTTATCCAACTGCCCTAGTTAGATACATCAACCCTGTTAAAGCGACAGAAATTCGCTTTTCGTCCTCTCAATTTCGTTAAACAACACCCTCGCTACGAGAAAGCGGTGAGTGGGACTTCCCTGGAAGTAGTTGTATACGCGTGGCCATATGAGAGCATTTTGAGAGGGAGAGCTAGAGCTCCCCACCCTCGGCCGTTCCTGAGCATTTGGTGGCTTTTGGGTTGGTGTTGGATGAAATACCGATATGGATTCAGGAATTTCGCATGGCTTTTTTCAACTCTCGTCACTTGTATCACCGACGAAATGTTCGTCTCCAATGATGATGCGAGTACATTTTGTAGCAGTTTGCTTTGTTATATATTACAGCTGAGACGTGATCTTTAAGGTTATTCGTAGGTTACTAGTATGAAACATAGCCTATTGAAGTATGACATATGCAGGTAGCAAGTATTTTATCATGGGTATCTTTGAAGCATTGCCTGTGTACGATGATTCATTTTGAGGTTAGGCATAGGGTACCAGTTAAGTCTATCGATGAGACTGAATCTCCATCGACTGAGATGATTAGAAAGTGTTACCTATGCCAAAGGAGGATCACAGTAATATGTGACATAAGTCGATGAAGGCAGTGATTGTAAGACTGAAACCTGTTGAGAGGTGCAAACTTAGTTGACATTCGTGCGATAACCGCAATTACTACCTCAATTTGGGTGGTTTGGTTTAGAATCAGTCTTATTGGTGCACATGTTTTTTACACTACATTTTCTCGAAGTTTTATATTATTTCATGTCTTTTATTCCTCGAATTAATCTTTTACTTTCCATGTTTAATGTTTCTCAGTATAACTGATGTTGCCAATATCTGGACTGTTTTACAATTCATCTTGTGAATTTCACCGTACCGTGATGATGCATTATAGCAACACAAGTTGACGTACATTCGTACTACACCCGATATTAAATATGGCTGACTAAATAACCATTTTTTTCTGTAGCGTTAATATCAAGTTAACATAACGTTTCGTTTTATGCCGAAATAATTGCATAACACGTTAATGACTCCTAGTTAACTAGTTGGTTCTTCAGGGACAATTTAATCTTTATTATTTCATACACATAATGAACTACAACATCAAATATCTCTCGGTACTGTTGGACCAAGACCGGTGACAAATTTATGAAGACAGTGATTATTTATCTCAGCTGTTATCAGCTACGGATTACCTGATTGAATTTCAAACAGTAACCACAATCAGTAATTGGGAATTTTATATTACATGGTTAACGATCGATTGCAGTGACGTATATGCATTCACTTGTCATCTTCCTTCAAAATTCGGATTTTTATACTATTTTATACTTTCCATTCCTCGGTTTCCCGTTTTCGAACTATAATCAACTTTTACTACCACTAACACTATCAACTATGATTCTTAAACTTGATATACTGATGAGACGAGGCAACTCGGACTGATACACATTTGTGCTTGGGTTTGACATTGGTAATGACTAATTGAGCTGTGCGTATGGGAAAATTCATACAAAATAGGACTGATAATACGACCACTGGATTTCAACAGTTACGCTTTTAACCAATACGAAAAATCAATAAGGACACAACAGAACGAATGAGATGTAAACCAAAAGCATGAAACTAAATCCTAAATAAAATACAATAATAACGATATATTTAAAAACAACATAACAGCTTACTCTGTCACCCACAGAGTGAAAGAAGTACTTTAACTGCACAATATTTGGATGGTCCAGTTGGCGCATAATTTGCAATTCTCGATTCTGAAAATAAACAACGACGTTAATTTTGGGTAGAAGGATGATTAAATATCAACACTGATAAGCCATTGCTATCCACAAGTTCTCAAAAGAAAAATTACTCAAAAAATATTAATTAAAGCAAAGAACTTGATTTGTCACTATATGCAAACTGATTTTACTGTAATTCATCTCTGGGAGGAAATGGATAGTCTGATTCAGAGTCTCGTACATATCTCAATCATATGTTGACTACTATACGTACTTACATCTGTTCTACAAATAAATCCTATATCAAACTAGTATTGTTGACTGGGTTTCCTATTATGAGGGAACCAAAACAATTAAATATTCCGAAAAAAAGACTGAACACCAAATTTTACTGCAGTGGATAACATTGTCGACCGAATTTACTTACTTACGCCTGTTACTCCTCGTGAAGGAGCATAGGCCGCTCACCAGCATTCTCCGTCCAACCCTGTCCTGGCCAATCCTTTCCAGCTCCTTCCAGTTGTTATTCATCCTTTTCATATCTGCTTCTATTATCCGACGTAATGTGTTCTTAGGCCTTCCTCTTTTCCGCTTCCCTTCAGGATTCCAAGTTAGGGCTTGTCTCGTGATGCAGTTTGATGATTTGCGTAATGTATGTCCTATCCATTTCCATCGTCTTTTCCTAATTTCTTCTTGAGTTGGAAGCTGATTTGTTCTCTCCTACAAAAGGCTGTTGCTGATGGTATACGGTCAATGGATGTTGAGTATCTTGCGAAGATAGCTATTTATAAATACTTGTACCTTCTTGATGGTGGTTGTTGTAGTGCTCCAAGTTTCAGCTTCATACAGTAGAACTGCCTTGACGTTGGTATTGAAGATTCTCACTTTGATATTGGTTGAAAGTTGTTTTGAGTTCTATATGTTCTTCAATTGTAGGAATGCGACTCTTGCTTTGCCAATCCTTGCCTTTACGTCTGCATCTTAACCTCCTTGTTCATCGATTATGCTTCCCAGGTATGTGAAGGATTCTACATCTTCCAGAGTTTCGCCAACAAGAGTGATTGGATCGCTATTCTTCGCCTTGAATTTGAGGACCTCGGTTTTACCCTTGAGTATGCTGAGGCATACTGATGCAGAGACTGCTGCCACACTGGCTGTCTTTGTCTGCATCTGTTCGTGTGTATGCGATAGAAGGGCCAGGTCATCTGCGAAGTTCAAATCGTGTAATTGGTTCTGAGCTGTTCATTGTATTCCGTGTTTTCCTTCAAATGTCGAGGTCCTCATAATCCAGTCGACCACCAGAAGAAAAAGGAGGGGAGAGAGTAGACAGCCTTGTCTTACTCGAGTCCTCACTTGGAATGCATCTGTCAGCTGTCCTCCATGCACTAATTTGTACTGTAGTCCGTCATATGAGTTCCGGATAATATTGACAATTTTCTCAGGAACTCCGCAGTGTCGAAGAAGTTTCCACAGCGTCCTCCTATTTACACTGTCAAATGCCTTTTCATAATCGATGAAGTTGATGTATAGCGACGCGTTCCACTCAACTGATTGTTCGACGATGATCCATAGTGTTGCAATTTGGTCTGTGCATGATCGATCCTTACGGAATCCAGCTTGTTGATCTCGAAGTTGGGCGTCTACTGCGTCTTTATTCCGGTTCAACAACACTGTTGAAGACCTTCCCTGGTATTGACAGTCGTGTGATTCCTTTGTAGTTTTCACATTTGATCAGATCTTTCTTTGGAATCATGATGAGGTGTCCTTCTTTCCAGTCCATCGGCATTTGTTCCTCCTCCAAAATCTTTTTGAATATAAGATAAACCATGTTTGTAGTTACTTCGATGTCTGACTTCAGTGTTGTCCGGTCCCGCTGCTTTCCTGCTCTTGATTTGTCTGACAGCCATTCTGTTTTCTTCCTTCGTTGGTGGGCTGACGTCTATGGGAATATCTGTGTGTGCCGCTTCGATGTCCGGTGAATTCATTGGAGCCGTCGTTGGATGAAATAATCAATGGAAGTTTAAAAAATACGCTTTTCTGAATCGCGTTAATCCAATTTAACATCGAACATTAAGGTGCAAATGTATGTGAATGCCAGGAATTGAGTTTACGAAACATTTTTAAACCATATTTTAAAGTTAGACAGACGGAAATCTACAGAGATAAAAAACTTGTCTATCGACTTGCTGAATACTAGTCAAATTCTATTATTACACTTAAAATTTAAAACTTAAAAGTATTTCATCTAAATGAAATAGTTTTGTCTTCACTAGGTATACATACAAAATACACTTTACGGCTGCCGTGGTCTTAATACTGTCTGAAACGACAAGCATTCAGTCAATAGTGAAATTATATTTCAACAGTTTAAATTTAAAATAAACGTTTAAAGAAAGTAGTGTAGAGTATTGAGCAAACAGTCATCTATATAACACAACCATACTAGGTGTTTGTGTATCAAAATGAAATACGAGTTAGTTATAACTACAAAGTTCTATACTAATTTGTTTTTTTACACAGAATAAAGTTTTACTGCTGATGTCTTAGGCCAGTTCTGCTAATTCTTCCACGTATTTCTTCTTGTCGGCTCTATTGCTCCTCTTCACTTGCTTGTTTGCTTCTATGTATTCAGCTTGTGCTTGGACTTTCTCCGCTCGTGTTCGGCTGTTGTTAATTGCTGTCTTCTTTCTTTGATCTTGTCCAGTGTTTCTATAGAGATCCACTTCTTAGGATGGTGTTACTTTAGGCCCAGAACCTCTTGACACGTTGAAGTTAATGCTTCTTTGATACTTTTCCAGTTATCCTCCATAGTAGTTTCTCCTTTCAGTAGATCATGTAAGGCTTGGAACCTGTTGTTGAGAGCTATCTTGAATTCATTGAGTTTGTCAGTATCTCGAAGGAAGGCTGTATTGAACCTTTGTATTGCTGTTTGTCCAATTGTCCAGTTCTTTTTTAGCTTCAGTTTTAAATTGGCTACAACTAGGTGGTGCTCTGAAGCTATGTCAGCTCCTTTCCTGGTTCTCACATCTTCCATTGTCCTTCGGAATTTTTTGTTGATGCAAATATGATCTATCTGGTTCTCTGTAGTGTGGTCCGGTGAGATCCATGTAGCCTTGTGTATATGCTTGTGTGGAAATATTGTGCCCCCTATGACCAATTTGTTGAATGCACACAAATTTGCAAATCTTTCTCCATTTTCGTTCCTCTCTCCCAGTCCATGTCGTCCCATAATATCTTCATATCCAGTGTTGTCTATTCCGACCTTGGCATTTAGATCTCCCATCAGAATGGTGAGGTCCTTTCTTGAGCATTTCTCTATGATTGACTGCAGCCGCTCGTAGAATTGATCTTTAATGTCGTCGTTGCTATCATTGGTGGGTGCATAACATTGGATAATATTCATTAAGATCCCCTCCTTTGTTTTGAACGATGCTTTGATGATTCTGGATCCGTGAGATTCCCATCCTACAAGTGCATTTCGTGCTACTTTGGGCAGCATTAGAGCAACTCCCTGAGTGTGTGGAGTATTTTCCTCTTCATGACCGGAGTATAGTAGCATCTCTCCCGTAGCTAACCTTTTCTGTCCAGCTTGTGTCCAATGGGTTTCACTAATTCCCAGTACTGCCAAGTTGTATCTCCTCATTTCTGTTGCTATTTGACTGGTCTTCCCGTTCTTCCACATTGTTCGGACGTTTCATGTACCTACAAAAATTTTTTCTCTGGTTGTTAGAAGGGGCATCGGCCTCGTGGCTTCCGAAGAAACTCGGCTTTCACCATTAAGCGTCATAATTCTTCTAAAAGAAGACCTTCTAACTCTTAGGGCAGAGTTAAAGTGGTTTGAATTTTTTTTTCTGGTAAGCGTTTTTTAGCGAGTAAGTTTTCTACGGGATGGGGACGCTAAGCTCATGCCCAACCCTCCTCCTTTACCCGGGCTTGGGACCGGCAGTAATTCTAGAAGTGCTACAGGCGGATTTACGGCAACCTGGACCGATGTGTAAATGTGCCTGGTCCATGGTTGTATCTGACTGATACAACTACTAACGGAATTTCAATGAATACTCTTTATAACAATATGTAAGCTAAATTCGGTCGAAACTCCTCCTGTAGCCTTTTAGCGTCCCCATCCCGTAGAAAACTTACTCGCTAAAAAACGCTTACCAGAAAAAATAATTCAAACCACTTTAACTCTGCCCTAAGAGTTAGAAGGTCTTCTTTTAGAAGAATTATGACGCTTAATGGTGAAAGCCGAGTTTCTTCGGAAGCCACGAGGCCGATGCCCCTTCTAACAACCAGAGAAAAAATTTTTGTAGGTACATGAAACGTCCGAACAATGTGGAAGAACGGGAAGACCAGTCAAATAGCAACAGAAATGAGGAGATACAACTTGGCAGTACTGGGAATTAGTGAAACCCATTGGACACAAGCTGGACAGAAAAGGTTAGCTACGGGAGAGATGCTACTATACTCCGGTCATGAAGAGGAAAATACTCCACACACTCAGGGAGTTGCTCTAATGCTGCCCAAAGTAGCACGAAATGCACTTGTAGGATGGGAATCTCACGGATCCAGAATCATCAAAGCATCGTTCAAAACAAAGGAGGGGATTTTAATGAATATTAACCAATGTTATGCACCCACCAATGATAGCAACGACGACATTAAAGATCAATTCTACGAGCGGCTGCAGTCAATCATAGAGAAATGCCCAAGAAAGGACCTCACCATTCTGATGGGAGATCTAAATGCCAAAGTCGGAATAGACAACACCGGATATGAAGATATTATGGGACGACATGGACTGGGATAGAGAAACGAAAATAGGGAAAGATTTGCAAATCTATGTGCATTCAACAAATTGGTCATAGGGGGCACAATATTTCCACACAAGCATATACACAAGGCTACATGGATCTCACCGGACCACACTACAGAGAACCAGATAGATCATATTTGCATCAACAAAAAATTCCGAAGGACAATGGAAGATGTGAGAACCAGGAAAGGAGCTGACATAGCTTCAGAGCACCACCTAGTTGTAGCCAATTTAAAACTGAAGCTAAAAAAGAACTGGACAATTGGACAAACAGCAATACAAAGGTTCAATACAGCCTTCCTTCGAGATACTGACAAACTCAATGAATTCAAGATAGCTCTCAACAACAGGTTCCAAGCCTTACATGATCTACTGAAAGGAGAAACTACTATGGAGGATAACTGGAAAAGTATCAAAGAAGCATTAACTTCAACGTGTCAAGAGGTTCTGGGCCTAAAGTAACACCATCCTAAGAAGTGGATCTCTATAGAAACACTGGACAAGATCAAAGAAAGAAGACAGCAATTAACAACAGCCGAACACGAGCGGAGAAAGTCCAAGCACAAGCTGAATACATAGAAGCAAACAAGCAAGTGAAGAGGAGCATTAGAGCCGACAAGTAGAAATAGAGTATCATCAAACTGCATCACGAAGCAAGCTTTGGCTTGGGATCCTGAAGGGAAGCGGAAAAGAGGAAGGCCTAAGAACACATTACATCGGGAATTAGAAGCAGATATGAAAAGGATGAATAACAACTGGAAGGAGCTAGAAAGGATTGCGCAGGACAGGGTTGGATGGAGAATGCTGGTGAGTGGCCTATGCTCCTTCACGAATAACACGCGTAAGTAATTAAGTCAGGTTGCCTTACCACATGAGCATAACAAAATGAACACCAAATTCATGAAAGTAGTCATTTCTATGGTAGTAAACAATGATTTCATATGAAAATATGATACAAAGAAAAAAATCAGTTCGTAGAATATGTATTAATTATTTTAGTCTCACTGGTTAGAGGAAGACAGATAGTGTATACACCGACACCACTGTGGTCGATTCTGAGCCATGTCACCCATAGTCTCCAACCACTTAATACGATAATCACACGGATCCCAACCAAGTAGTTTGCACCTACCAACATGGCTCAGATCAGAAGCTAGTAACTTCAAGGACTGTTGCCATGTTTTATTTGGTCGCCCCTAACTTTCTTCCACTAGAAGTGTTCGAGTAAAGAGCCTTTACACGGCTTATGTACTTCTGAGGTACGCCTTTCAATGACAGACACTGCCACAGAACTTCTCGGTCTACGAATTCAAATGCTGCTTTTAGGTCAAGAAAAACCACCGTTATCGGATGCCGATAAGCATGTCTGTGTCCTAAGATCTGACGAATGGCGAATATGTGGTCGATGCAGCCAGGACCAGGTCTGAACTTAGACTGATTTCCTCGTGTTTGCAGTTCACGAGTCTTTGTTAAGCGTCCGACAACAATTGAGGCTAGTATTTTAGATGCCATACTAGTTAAACTAATCCGTCTATGGTTATCATTGGGTGATTTTGACCCCTCCTTATATAATGGGACAATCAATGATTGCAACCAGTCACATGGGATTACATCCAACTCCTTTATTTTAGCTAAAGTATTAGTCAACCTAACCGCTAAAACTGGATCACCATCCTTGAATACTTTTGGACTCAATCCGTCTGGACAAACACCTGGAAGTGGTCTTTACCCATTTAAATGACTTATTTTTGGTGGTCGGAATCGCACATAAATATACTATGGAATGACAACATAACTGGTATATTGAGGAATATATATGCTGGCTGATAGCGATGTATGGTGAGCGTTGATGAGTTTGTGTAGACTGTCTGAACACATACTTATCATCTATTAAAAAATTTAGTTTTACATAACATAACATGAATGATAAAAACTGATACAAGTTTCTATCCACAAAATAACGGGGGATGCAAGACTGAAGAAATGATCACCTTGAATCTCCTATCCTGAAGAACTTTTTTTACAGCGACTATTTCATCAGTTTCCAGGAGTCTAGCTTGATACACAACGCCAAATGATCCGTTCCCTATGACTTTGGCATCCGTGTACGATATTTCCTTTGACTTGTCACCTTGACACAAGTAGGCAACAACCGTCACCACTTTGTTCGCGTCTTTCTCTAATAAAATCCTATTAAGACGTTTGATTAACTCTTACGACTCATTCTATCTCATTTCATATGACGAGTGATTTTCGAGACAATAGGCTAAATGGCGCCAAGGCCAAACTTGAAACGGGCAGACCAGTTTATTGAACAAACTTCGAACTTTGTAAAGCATTACTAACGAAATAATTGTTCCTTGAGATCGGAGTCTGGGTGGTAAGATTATTTTCTCATAATCCCCAAATTTTTCAGTTGGCCAATAGTTTTCTACCTAATATCGCATACAATATTTGGGTCAACTAGTTGTATAACGATGGCGTTATTCAGTTCCACTCTGGAAAGGACAGGAGGCTGGGTGGCTTGTGTTAGTCCTGTTAATAATGGTCTCCCAGTTGATCCAACTTTCCTTTTTAAAAAGTCGACAGTTAGAGATTCAACCATGTGTTAAGTTAATGAATTCCACTCGTTGATGATTCAATGGGAAAGTCGATAGTCGGCTGACATGTAATTTGTTCTGGGTTTGTGAACCTTTTTAGAGTGTTCTCGTAAATCTTCTGTTTTGGAAGACAAGAAGAGTGAGGACAAACCAAGTGTAAATCTACCACTAAGTAATTTACAAACTGTAATCAGGTCACTTCTAGTTTTTCGATTTGATAATGGGAATACGTTTAGTTTGTAGTGACTCACATTTATCACGAGAACACGACTGTTTTAATGAAAACAATCATTATTATAACCAACTGTACCAGTGCTTGTTTTAACGTGCTTTTGTTAAACTGTGCCAATTACAGCCATTTTGTGCTTCCATTACTTTCCGTCATTGTTCCGCGGTTTTTGGCTTTGTTCGCACGTCATCCACCTTCCTGCTTTCGCTTGTACCATTTCTTGGCACGATCTTGGTATTCGTTCGATACCACGAGATCGTCAACGGAATAAATCTGGTTACATTTAATCTTCGCCATCTGATTTCTTTGGCACGCGTTTCTTGGTCGCGGTGTTCGTTGTCAGTTAGGACTCGACGACACGCTACAAGTTTAGCGTTTTGTTATAACTTCTGTGTGATCTTATATTATACTCTGTACACACCTGATAGTTCAAACAGATCTTGACTATGACGGTGTCGTCGCCTTCCCTGTAGCTCCATTCTCTACATAAACAATTGTTATATTCGACACGTGGACTTCTATTACTCATGTCCTTGTTAGCTCTATACTTACACTTCCTATTTGTTCTTGTCTGCAAATTACACCTACTATTTTGTCGAAGTCATGTGTTTTTGTATATGCCGAGTTATATTAACGCTTCCATCGAGTAGTCTTTCTTGTAGACACGTTTGCTTCCTCCAATTTACGTTATTTGTCTGTTTTAACCGATGCGTAAGCATAGATTTCCAAAGCATGGCCATATTTGGCTTAGTTTATTTCGTCATTCACTAATGTGGTGAAGTCAACGAATGTGCACAAGGTTATTTGCCAGTCTATATTTCATCACTTTCCTTTAAACCAACTATAGATAAGGTCACTGAAATGTTGACACTTAAACACGAAATATAAATGTAAGGTATGCTTAAAATATTTAGACACAAGCAAAAATACTGCGTTTAGAGTATTCGGCCACACTTTCAATGTTGAACCCGTTTTTTGCAGGACTCTCGAGAAGATGCTTTTTATAGTAAGGAACTCCACAAGTTAGTGGTTCTAACCACGAAGAAGTTCGCATTCTATACTAATTACATCTTCGATATTAAAACTTGTTAATTATCTGTTACAGTGTGGAGGATTATTATTGATATTATATATCAAGATAATATCTGTATCATCCTCCGCACTGTACATGTTGCTAATCTAGGCTCTATAGATTGGATTCGATTCGTAGTCCATGCATCTTTCCAGTTTCTAATACCCAAATGTGTTCCAAAAGAAATATATCCTTTTTAAGATAAGACGATATGACCCAAAATATTTTTCAGCTAATTTCTAAAATAAACACTAAAGGCTATTTTGAATAGCTACCTGCCATTCTGGAAAGAAATCTCTGCGAGTAAATGAACTTTGCTGCATATACAACGCCAACAGGAAAAAAAGGCTGAAGCATCACAGAGGATGATGCCATGTCCCTTTTCAATGGCAAAAAGTGTGGTACTAAAATCACTCAGAATGTTGGATTGGAAATAAAATCACTTCTGTTCAACATTAGTATTCTGCGCTTGTTGGTAGTAAGAGTTATGATTTTCTTATTGATCTAGTCGTAAGCCTTATCAAAGTTTTTTCAAAGTGATAATATGTTCGCCGATAAAAGCATGCCTCCCAAGCTTATAAATCCGTCTAGATTACTGCACTGGCAGGTGCACACTATTATTACAGGCATGATCTATAAATTACAACGTTTATTGTTTCACAGTATGCATGTTAAATAAATATAGTCTATAAAAGTGAATATCAGTTCATTTCTTCAGATACACTGGATAATCTACAAAATATTCCTAAACACTTGCTAAGTGATATTATTCGAAAACGTAAAAAAGAATAAGTCACATTAGAGAACGAAGAGTCTTCAGCTAATGTGAGTGATGTGAACAAGCTTCGCCTGTTGAATTAAACAACTTAGATTTTGCCACTAATGGTCGACAATTAAAAAGCGTTGGAGTGAAACATCGAACAAATCCTCTGTGAGCATATACAATGACCCCACACAACTAACACTCGCAATAACAACGAATTCAAAAAGCAACGTATGCGAGTTTTATTATTTATTTTCCTGGTTAATTTACTACGTTTTTAGTACTTCTTATAAATATTTTTTTCACTTGGACTGGTTGTATATATACAATATGAACTACTTCTAAAAAGTTTTCGGTTGAAGATATGTTTAATAACTTGATAAGTGGTTTTAGGCAAAACATTTTAGATCATACCATGGTCAAGTACTTATTAGATTCAGATTCAGATTTCAGATTTGTGTAGTAAGGACAGAAGGCCTACAGCCTGTTATTCCTTTTCTAGTATGCTTCTGTGAGTGTCCAGTCTTCTCTTGAAAGAGTCAATTGAAGGTGCGGACACCTGTAGCAAGCCCATTCAACTAATGTATCATTTGTCTACTCACTGTAATTCAGACACTTAATTCATCATGTTAATTTGTGTGCATTTCAAACTCTTAATTCACTATGTTAATTTCGGTGTGTATGATCGAATGTATGTCTGTACATCAACTCTTAAGCTATTTTCCTATTGGTTTCAATATGCAGATAATCGATAATCTATCCACACCCGATTAACTCTCAAATATATATGGATTTTTAACAGACTCACTCACTCTCTCTGTTTCATCGTGTGCTTGCCCACCGTACGCTTGTGGATTATTATTATTCAATAACAATAAACTATCTCTATAACTGGTGTTCGGGCTTTTTAATAATCTCGAGGAAATTCGCAATTCTACTAAAAGATTAAGCCTACCTAAAATACTCAGTTACGGGATATTATTATTTGGAGTCAGATATTGAGGACATTATCCTCAACACACCACTGCTTCAGGCAGCAGGTTCCAAGTATTGATGACTCGGTGTGAAAACCTGTATGCCACGGGTATTTTGTTCGTTCTTGGCTTTTCTACTCACGCCTTCTATGTCCTCTGAGGTGTCCCGATCTAGTGGGAAGAAAAAGAGAGAATAAGTTAGGTCCGAAATCATATCTCAATATTCTGTACATCAATATTAGATCTCCCCTTAGTCTGCGATAGGACAGAGTAAAGAGGTTCGGTTTTTCAAGCCGCTCTTTATATGATAAACCCCGGAGTTCCGGAATTGCACGCGTAGCTGCCCTCTGCACTTTTTCTAGTATGTCTGAGTCACCTTTTAAACAGGGGCTTGCAGCCTGAACACAGTTCTCTAACTTAGTTCTCACTAAGGATGTGTATAATGTGGTGAACATGGTAGTATCAAACTTGGTGAATGTCCTTTTTAAAGCCCAGAGGGTTCGAAACCCCTTAACTGCGACCTCCCGGCAATGGGCCGTCGTCTTAAGATCATCACTCACTGTCACCCCTAGATCCTTATGAGACCGGACTACTGGTAATGACACATCCACTATGTTGTACGTATTAACCTTTGAATCCCCCAAGTGCATGTAGACACACTTCCGAGTTGATAGGCATCAGCCACTCTTTAGACCAGTTTATCATATTATTTAAGTCTGCCTGAAGAGTAAATGCGTCTTTGTCTCCAGTTACTACTCGCCAAATTTTTACATCGTCAGCGTGTAATAACATTGGAGACTGTACTATACTTGTAAGATCATTAACGTACAATATAAAAAGTAAAGGACCTAGGACTGAACCTTGAGGTACCCCACTAAGTACTGGTCTCCAGATGGAGCACTTGGAATTTATTCTTATTTTTTGCGTACGACCTACTAGGAAATCCTTAATCCATTTTAAAAGAGGTCCGGCAATACCAAGGTTTGCCAACTTCAATAGCAGTCTATTAGTTGGCACCTTGTCAAAAGCCTTACTGAAGTCTATGTAGACAACATCCACTGAGTTTCCGTTGTCTAGCGCATTAATCCAGAGCTCCCTAGCTATAAGAAGGTTCGTTGTACAGGATAGACCCTTTCTAAAACCATGTTGTGCCATGTTCAGCAAGTTATTTGTTTCCATAAATGCCGTTATGGTCCGTTTGATTATTCTTTCCAGTATTTTAATTACAACACTGGTGAGGCTTACGGGTCTGTAATTCGATGGAACTTGTCGTGGACCTGTTTTATGTATGGGAGTGAAGATTGCGTCCTTCCAGTCCATAGGTAACACACCTTGGTCAAGTGACATATTGAATATCACAGTCAGTGGGGCCGCGATATATTGGGCAATATGTCTCAAGATTTTGGGGTGTAGTTCATCTGGTCCTGTTGACTTCTCCGTGTTTAGGGTGCTAAGAGCCTTAAGCACATCGTTTTGGTCGAAGTCCACGGTTTTCATGTTTAGAAAAATTATGCAATCAGTTAACCACTTTTCCTGCAGCATACTTTTTAATGTAATCGTATAACTCATTTTTATTGGCACCACTCATTTTTTTTATTTCTGACATTTCCCAATCAATAACCGTGAGGATATATTACAGTACGTTACATGTAAGGTTACTATATTATC